CAGGAAGCGTCTGCGGTGAGAGGGTGGGAGGCTCCGCTCCAGGAAGGCCAGGCCATCTTCGCGAATCCAAAATGCGCACCCCACCACTCGGGGGGCCTCCAGCGCGAGCCCCTTGGCCCTCCCGTGTACAGGCCACTACAAAAGTCTCCCTTCTGCTCCCCTCGTCACAGACGGTCCAGGATGGTCTTCTCTGGAGGGAGGATGGCAAACTGATGAAAGGAGACCTGTTTTGTTGTTGGAAGCCAACATTTGCACCGTACAATTTCAGTGTTACTTTATGAAAAAAAATTTTGTTTTGAAGTTTATTTGAGAGAGAGCGCATGCGGATGACAACGGGAAGGGGCAGAGGAGGAGGGAGAGAGAGAGGGTCCCAAGCAGGCTCCACACTACCAGTGCAGAGACCCACTTGAGCCTCGAACCCATGAACAGTGAGATCCTGACCTGAGCCGACATCAAGAGTCAGATGCTCAAGCTACTGAGCCGCCCAGGTGCCCCCTCATTGATACTTTTAAAACCGAGACCAGATATTCCGGGAGAGAATTACTGCCAGCTGCACTGAATATGGGAAATACAGCAGTCCTCTCTCGCGTATCAACAGAGAAACTCTTCCTTGTAGCTCCGTAGTGAAGTCTCTAACTTCTCTGGTAACACTTCGACACGCTGGGAAAAGAAAACAACTGCCCTAACAAAAAACAGCCCAAGGCTCGTGAAATGCGTTCCAGAAGGAAGCGAGGCACTCTTCCTGTTACTGTCTCTGAGTCTCTTCCTTTCGCACAGTGGTTCTGGACTACTCTCGGCATCACTGATCCAGGGCTTGGATTTGTTACTTGGCCTGTTAAACCTTTTGCAGAGGAAAGTCGACACAGCCCGCGCTGATACAAATGTATCTGCATTTGCTGAGACACGGAGCGCCGTTTCAGGCTTCTGGGCAGTAGGGAGCTGAGGGTTTGGATGTATTTGCAATCTGGACCTGCCACTTACTGGCACAGTGACTCTGGGCAAGTTTGTTAATGACCCTCTCAGCCTCGTGCTATCTGGGAACCCATACTATGCCCCTTACTGGACTTGTGGGCCCACGCAGTCCTTTAACCTTTACATACTTCATTTTCCCAACTGCAACGTAGTAACAAAGTGCAGGTTTTGTGCTTGGCCCGCTGTGAGGATAAACTGCGTGATTATTCCAAGGAGCTCTTTTCAAAACAAAATCGTAAAATATTACCCTTGTTCATGTACCACGATGCTCTTTGGAGATGGTAGCTGTTATAAAGAAATTAATGACCGAAAAGTCACTTTTCCCTTGTTCCTTTTTCTTCAGGAAAAAGAAAAAAAAAAATCCAGACTCTTAGCTCAAGTTTCTGAGATTACAGAAATTCATGGGACAAAGATTACAGTTGAGGGAGGAATGGGCAAGTTTTTCTGAGAGGTTCTCTTACAGGGAAAATAGTATCGATCAAGGATGCTTCAAAAGTGTAAGTGAATGCATTCAGCTTCTAAAGATTTGATCCTAATCTAGCTTCTGCTTTTATTTAAAAAAAATTTTTAATGTTTATTTTTTGAGAGAGAGAGAGAGAGAGAGAGAGAGAGAGAGAGAGAGAGAGGGAGGGAGGGAATATGAACAGGCGAGGGGCAGAGAGAGGAGGAGACAGAATCCCAAACAGGCTCCAGGCGTCGAGCTGTCAGCACAGAGTCCAACATGGGTCTCAAACTCGCGAACTGTGAGATCATGACCTGGGCCTAACTGACTGAGCCACCCGGGCCGCCCCAGCTTCTGCTTTTCAATTCCATATTCACTAAAGGCCCCTTTCTATAAAATCATGAAACACATGTGAAGTTATTTTTAGCTTGAAAGGAAAATGGGAAATTATTTTGGGGAAAAAAGTATAGTTGATGTCTCATTCGATTCTCCTGACACAAATACTTAGTGACTTGTCATCTACACTTTCTTTTTCTTCTTTTCTTTTCTTTCTTCTTCTTTTTTTTGGCTTTATTTTCTCCTTAAGCAGAAAGTGTTTTACTCATTGAAATGAGACACTTTAGATTCTAGTGATAAACCTCAATCTCCTGAAGGACAGACCATTCTATTTTGAGAGTTGTTCACAAAAAAACATTATTGGTTTCTGAAATGACATTTCTTTCTCTTTGGGGACAGCGTTCCAAGCTGGACTGAGTTTTACAAGTGGGTTTATTACGTGGCTCCGTAAGACATAGAGACGGCATGTGAACTGTGGAGGTGCCCAGCTGAGCTGTGCCACATCCTCAGGCCTCCACGAGCATCTTAACCTAGGTGGGATTTGGGCTAAATGGGCTCTTGGATTTCTTCGTATCGTTTCTACCGGATGTCACGTCCACGTCCACGCACTTGGTAACATGTTTGACATTGCACCGACTACTGCCAAATCCTCGCCAGCTCACCCGTGAAGATACTGCCATTAGTTGATATAATGTTTTCTGGGCTTAGGTGCAAGGCTAAAGTCAAATTTCTTAAATTGAAAAAAACAGGGCATTTAAGTTAAGCTCCCCTGGGAATGCATCCAAAATACAAATCTGCGTTTGTCGATTTATAAATTTATTCACACATCCACTCAGAAATAGTCAGTAGCACGTCTCTACTGAGTTGGCTGAGTTCCTCAGCCCAGGCAATTCCAGTCTTGGGGCCTGGTGACTTGGAGGTGGGGGAGGAAAGTGAGGAAGGAAGGGGCATTAGGGTGCCCCACCCGCCTGTGGGGAGTCAGGGAAGCCTCCTTCAGAGAGGTACTTCTATCCCCAGCCCCCCAGCTCACTTTAGAATACTGGTCTGGGTCACTGGCAGACACAAAAGTTAAGTCCTACTTCAGGAGAAAACAAAAGAGCAGGAGGCCGTACAACTTGATTTCATATATATACAAAAAACCCTCCAACTACAGAGCTTCAACTACTCAGGAGGATAAGACCTGATTATCCCTATGAAGGAAGAAACCCCCTTTCTGGAATTCACCAAGCAGATGGAGCCTTGACATTTACATCCTTGATACTCTAAACATTCAAGGTGATGTTAAGGCAGCTAATGGAGCGCTCAGCATTTGATTTCACAGCCTGTACGGACTTAGTGTGCTGAATTTTCTATGTGGAAGGTTCAAGAAGGTTCAAGAATGGGGTATTCTGGAAGGCCCAGAGCATTTACCGACTGCTTTAAATTAGCCATCTGCTCATGCGCCTTCTAAGGTCACTCCCAGATACCCTTAGTTTTTAAATGAGCACACAGAGCATGTAAACGCTAACACCCTGACCTGCAGTGGTCAAGGCAGAGGAGCACAGAGTCTAATGACAAGGCGCTGTGTCCACCCGGGAAGACGCGCTTGGTAGTAGCCTCAGGACCCAGTGACCTTCTCTGCATAATTCAAGTGCCGCAGTGGAAGAGCCGGAGGCTTCCTCGAAGGAAAGACCCTAATTTCGGATCTGGGTGGGTCCATACTATTAGGAGGAAGAATAAATGTTGCACTGGCTGAAAATATGACAAATCTTCACATTTATTTTAGAGCTTGCAATCTGGAGGTTTTCTCTTTAAAACGCAGAAAACTCCCTGAATATTTTACTTATGACTCTCTGATTCCCTTCACAGAACTAAAAATTAACCCTTCAATGGGATTCCTCGCTCCAAAGCCAGCTTCCCAAACTGTGTTCATAAAGATACTGCTGAATGATTTAATTTACCATTTTAACATCTATTTTTTCCTAATAAGTGAAAAGCAGTATTATACAAAAAAACCCCAAAAAAACAAAAAACAAAAAATAAGCTGGCAGTGCGAGAAGATTTAAAGCCCAATGAGTAAGTCGGCAGTTTTGTTTTTTTCCCCCTACAGGTCAATACATCCCATCAGACAACAGGTTCCCATGAGCCTGTGGGGCCGCAGGGGAAGGCTGGGCTGACGATCACAGAACCCATGTGAGGAGGAAGTCCTTCCAGATCCATTCAAAGTGAGACAAACAAACAAAACCAAGGATATTTATTTGGGGAGCAAAAAAAAAAAAAAAAGGAAAAAAAATGAGTAAAAAGGAGTTTTCGTAGTGGCAGCAAAAGAAATCTGGCTTTTATTCTGCATATTCAGGTTTCATTTCATTGACTCAGGGTGTCTGTCCTTCATTAAAAACAAATGGTGCTTGATTCTAATGTGCCAAAAATCTGTTCTTCCCCTTGCCTTCTCTCCACCATCTTTCTGGAATCAAACAAGGGAAGAGCCTTCTCGCTGTTCCTCACGGCAGGTTAATGGCACCTGTGTTCTGATTTATTGCGTGGGCCGCCTTCCCTGGCCCCGTGTAAGTTAGGATCTCAGCCTGGAAGGTGACACAGTAGGAGTGACCTTTCTTCACTAATCACTGCACCTCAGTTACTACTGACACAGCTCGTTATAAAAAGAAATCCTTTACGAGCCAGCTTTCAAATCCAGCCCCACTTTGATTTTCTTAAGAACAAAGATTATACTTCCACATAAAAGCTTCTGATGCACAATTCTGTCAACCGGGGTACTGAAGTAAAAAAAGGCACCCTGTTAATTGTCTGTGGTTATCAAGGGATGGCAAACTGTATCCAAGATAGGCCTGCGATCCTGGCTTTCATTATGGAGGTCAGAATATTTATTGACTGCTTCTTATTAAAATTTTAGAAGGACGTCAATCATGGTGGCTGCCCCCCGGATAGAGGAACCTTGTTGGAAATTCCCCCGCAATCAATCCCGTTAAAAACCAAAACCAAAACCAAAACACAACACTTGCGGATGCTACGCAGGGCTTCTCGGCCTCTCTGGCTCCCACCCACCGCTGGAGAAGCCCAAGGTGGGAGAGTGACTCCCGAGTGACTCCCCAGCGGCAGACTCTCATGTTTACACCCAAGTCAGAAAGTGAACAGGGCTGCTAATTGCTGTCTGTTCGTCTTCCCTGCCGGCGTTCTCTGCCTCTGAACCCACCCCGAACGCAGACGGGGTCGAGCAGCACGCTCAACAGCAAAGGCACGTGTCAGGACTTACCAGCCATCTGCTGAATGCCACTGAACGCACCCAGGTTGCTGGAGGAGGTGGCCTGCTGCAGGAGCTGCAGAGAGAAAAGTGGACCGTCAGACCAAGGCAGGGACAGGACAGGGCCACGCCGAGCCACACGGGGGCCCGCCCGCTCTCCCTCGCGCGTACCCAGCCGCTTGCTGCGACTATTCACGGACAGAAGGCTCCCAGAGTCGGGGCTGTAAATCCATATTAATGTCTAATCTCTATTAAGAAACACAGACACCGGGGAAACTCAGTTAACACTGCTGCCTTAAAACAATCAATTTAGTCTTTTTAACAACCAGGTGTTAAATCTATCGAAACCAACGCGGCGTGACTAATGCTCTCTCTGTAGCCTAGCGGTTACCACCACTCATCTCTGCCAATCAAAGCCCATCCCTCGCTCTCTCACTTTCCTTCCCCGCTTGGTGTCCTTCATGAGAAGCACACGGAACTCAAAGACTCTTGGGCCAACAGAGACATCACCACGGTAACTACGGACATAAGCATAGGTAGGCACAGCTACGCCGGTGACCACACGACCAAGACAATGGTCACAATTTTAAGGTGGTCTTCACCGTCAGAGAGGAACATACTATTTGTCAAAACTTACAAGTATCTGGTGTGATGTGCAATGACGCTGGGCAGATGTGTTGTCATCTTTTAAAGCCCAAGTTAAAATCAGGATCTCTGAGCTTTTCCTTAGAGCTTTCAAAAACACCCCACTCCCATCCCACCCTCAATCAGTGGGTATCGCAGGGTAAAGGCAGGTGGCTGCTGTCCTCAAGGGCTCCTTTATCTGTCTGATTCAGCTGAATTATAGATTAACTTCCGTCCTACACCACTAACCTGGATTGACTGATACTCTTTTGGATAAGGTAGATCAACAAAGACACAGGAACAAGCACGTAGTTCTCTCCTATACGCAAATGTACGTGGATACCAAATTCATCAAATCTATTACTGAGGGATGTTATGATACTATATGCTCAGGAGGACCAGGACCAATTCATGACTTCAAAAACAGCTTTCAGAATTTATTTGGAGTGCTGCAGAACCACACAACGCTGTCCTTGCTCTGGGTAAGGGTAGGTTTTTTTTTTTTCAGTTCAGTGCAAAACCGGGCCTACAATAGGGTAGGATTCAAAACTGAGCATCTCTCCATGGACTTAAAATCACCAAGTGGAGTGGAGTATCAGTGGCTGATTCAACCCGAGTCTCAATTACAATGATATTACGGGGATTAACGGTGACAGGTAACAAAAAATGCCAGCGATGTTCACTCATCCCTCCTGGCTTGTTGAGACAGACTGTCTAGGGATTACACACAGACCCAGAGACACACACGAGGAGGAAGAAGTTAGAGATGAACCGCTGTGATAGAAATCCTTTATTTGGGTCTGGTATCTTGGGTTTCCCATTCTCTTGCAGTTGTGAGCCCTTACTCCCTTTCCTATTAGGTATGCTTAAAAATTAAAGGGAAGTAAAATTAAGTTAGCTTTGAGGCCATTTTGAGGAATTAATAATGCCAACTGAGGTGTGTGGAACTCGTGGGAAGTGTCCTTAAACGATTGCCAAGGGTTCCACCCACTGATAACCATCCTCGGGTGGGACAGAGTCAGAATCTACCCCTCGACACAGAAGGAGGGAAGGCCTGAGAAGCCAACGGCCCTTCCGAAGAAATGGGACTTCCAACTGAAAGGGGCAGAACCGATATGGCAGAGAAAGAATGGAAGCCCGTGGCAGAAGCAAACATAGTTAAGAGCATATGAAAGTATGTTTTTGCAAGCGAGGCTGAGATGAATTCTCTTTCAGGGTACAGAACTAATCTGCAGATGCAATCAAAGAAACGTGCCACAGATTTTTGTGAGCCGTGGGGCATGGGAGATGTGCCAGGAGACTGGGGACAGGCACAGGTGTCTTGGTTTTTAGAAACGACAGAGTAGGAAGCTGGTTTCTTAGAAATCACAAGAAGGTGAGCCTGACATCGATCTCTGATACCAATTCTGGTACATGCAATTAAACAGGTGTCCCGTGAACGACCGAAAAGCACAAGTTCGGGAAAACCGAATCACCGTTAAGCTGGACTCATTTCTCGTTTTGTACGAGTTAAGGTGGCGAGACCAAGAAGACGATGCGGCACGGCATATACGGATCTCGGCAAGACATCTGAGGAGATCTCTCATGGTGCCTTTGTGGCTATGACAGAGAAATGGCTAGAAGGCGCCTAGTCAACTCAGGCCACACTTTTGTTAACGGCTCGGATGAAGACGGGAGGAGAGCGTGCCTCGTTCAGTGAGAAAACACGTATCGAGTAGCTATCACAGCCAGACCCCGCCGGAAGGCGGGCAGGGTGGGCCGGGAGAGGGCCAAGAGCCACAGCCGCAGCCAGCTGCACAGAGAGCACACGGAGGGCTGAGGTGCCACTTGCCCGCCGGCAGCTCGGTCTTGGAAACGCTGCGGAGCCCCTCTGAGCCTCTCCGTCTGCCCTGGTACAGGCAGGCTCTTCCCTTCCAAGATCACAGGGAGGACTGCTGTACGGAAGTGCACGGGCAGTTACAAGGTGAGGCTAACGGATCACGCGATCCCGAGGGGGACAGTTACCGTGTCAAGTAACAGGATCGGGACAGAACACATGTGGACGCATGCATGCACACACTCACACCCACACGTGCGTGCCGAGAGAGGCCAGCACACGCCACCCAGACTCAAGAGGGGAAGTTATACTAGTCAAGGTGAAGTCCTGCGTTCAGGTGCCAAGGCGGAAAAAGGGGCCGGAGCACCACGGTTCGGCAGTAGTTCAAGTACAAACCAATGAAAACCCAGACCGGCGTTAGCTGCCTTCTGCCTCACGTGCGACATGGTTAGTACAAGGGCCGCTGTAAGGCTGCATTAAGACAGTTTCTTTAGAGAACAACGTGGAGGTTCCTCAAAAAATTAAAAATAGATCTACCCTATGACCCAGCAGTAGCACTGCTAGGAATTCACCCAAGGGATACAGGAGTGCTGATGCATAGGGGCACTCGTACCCCAATGTTTATAGCAGCACTCTCAACAACAGCCAAAATGTGGAAAAGGCCTAAATGTCCATCAACTGATGAATGGACAAAGAAATTGTGGTTTATATACACAATGGTGTACTATGTGGCAATGAGAAAGAATGAAATACGGCCCTTTGTAGCAACGTGGATGGAACTGGAGAGCGTGATGCTAAGTGAAATAAGTCCTACAGAGAAAGACAGATACCATATGTTTTCACACTTATGTGGATCCTGAGAAACTTAACAGAAACCCATGGGGGAGGGGAGGAAAAAAAAAAAAGAGGTTAGAGTGGGAGAGAGCCAAAGCATAAGAGACTCTTAAAAACTGAGAACAAACTGAGGGTGGATGGGGGGTGGGAGGGAGGGGAGGGTAGGTGATGGGCATTGAAGAGGGCATTTTTGGGATGAGCACTGGGTGTTGTACGGAAATTAATTTGACAATAAATTTCATATAATAATAATAATAGTAATAATAAAAAGATAGTTTCAAGTCCACAGTAGGGGCCACTGCTCTGTGCTGTTTAGATCTCACCGGGGGAATCGTCTTAGATTCTGGTCCCTGTATTTTATTCCAGGTATTGACAGAAACGGGGAGCACAAGGAATGACAGGAAAATGAAAGTTTAAACCGATGTAACCATGGTTGAGGGAACTGGGTTTATTCGTCCTGAAGGAGGATCTAATTTGGGGGTTTCAACTACAGGAGGAAACATCTGATCTTGTCAACACAGTTCCACAGGGAAGAGCTGAGACGGCCGATCAAAGCGGAACGGGATCCCGCCGGTCCCCACGTGGACCGCACTAACCTCTCTTCAGCGACACGCCCGGCCCGCCTCAGTGTCGCCGTGACTGGCAAGCGCGCCGCGCCCCCTTCTCGGGCCAGGCCGCGAGCGGTCTCTGCCACACCGGTCAGAAATTTCGCCCCGTGGGACTCCGCGGCCTGGGCCAGGCCAGAGTTAAACGAGTCGCATCCCGAAGCTAATCGATTTAACTTGGAAAAAGGAACGGGCGTCAACGCCGACTTCACTAACGTCCCGGGACGCGACGAGCCCCCAAGCGAACTCTTTCTGAACTCAGGGGGGCGGCCCGGGCCCAGCACTTACCGCCAGGTACTGCGGGGTGAGTCCGCCCAGGCCCGTCAGGTTCCCCCAGGTGGCAGTGTTGAGCTGTTGCATCTGCTGTGCCAGCTGCTGCTGGAGGCGCCTTTGCTCTTTGTCCTTCTGAGTGTCCGCGAACTTGACCACGATGGGTGAGGAGCAGCCCTGTGGTCAGACACAGCGGAAAGTGAAGAGGGGGTTACCGCCTGACGGAAGCCTCTCGTGACACTCAGCACCGGGTCTAGCTTTCTCCACTATCGTGGAGCACACGGAACGGTCTGGAATGGTTTTAAAACGGTTTGATATTCCTTCTTCTTCTCTGACCAGTGCCATCAACAGAAAATTCCAGATACTGTCACTGGTTTCTCTGGGGATCTGGTGGTCGGTGCAGCCATTTGCTTTCTTGCTCTGATTATTAAACTGCCTCTCCTCCTCTCTTCGTGTGTCTTCCTCCAACCTTTCCGGGACCTCCTCAGAGACAAGACACCTTATCAACGTTCTTTAATTAAGCTTCGTGCTCCGCTCGTCTGACAGAGTCGTCTGTGTGTCTGCCTGTTTCCACATGTGAGCAGGGGACAAAGAAGGAGAGATGCCATAATGGGGACGAAAACGTCCCTCGCTCATGTATCTTGTTCACTCTTTCCCATTTTCAGTGATGCATTTTTGAACTCAGGAGCGCGGGGATCTTCCCGACTGGGCACTATCGGTGGGGAGAAGTGGATTGTTTTAGGAATGTGGATGAGGGAAGGAGAGAGAGAACGCAGGCCCCGAGCAACCTAACTGTGGTGTTTGCAGACGGGCCTCCCTTCCTTCTCTAACGCATCTCCTCTCTCCACCCTGCCTGGGGCTACCACAAACCACCAGCCTCGGAAGCATATTCTAGCAAGAGGAGCTGGATCTGAAATGGCAGGAGGCGCCGACTTGGCTTTTTGTCTCACTGGACATCACCATTCTAGACGCTTTTCAGTTTTCATTGCCTTTAAAAGGCAAGGAGTAGGGGCAGTGCGTGAGGGAATGGCTCAGGGTTCTAGAATAGGATGAATTCATGTCATGTTTGAAGTGGATAAGATCATTTGGGAAAATTATGGCCTCCAGCATGAAGACTTCCTTCCCAGAACACCTCTGAGACTTTGGCCACCATTCTGCAGAGACACGAGCTCCTCCCGCCCTCCCTCCCTCTCCCTCTTACCATGGCCTACACGTCTCCTCACCATTAAAGTCCTTTACACTTTGCTGAGGTAAAAAGAAATAATTCTACCCAGCTGATTAAAAAAAAAAACAAAACAACTTTTGTTGAAACTCAGCATGAGAACAGACTTCTTTCTCCCCTCTCAGAAATTCTATGTTCCTATTTAAACGAGCTCTTTCCCTTTCCTTTGGGTCATTTTTCTCTCTCCTCGAAAACAAACCTGTGTGCCTTCCCGCCGCCCCCCCCCCCCCATCACCTTGGGTAGTTACTGGGGGTGTAGCTGTGAAGGTGGGAGGCTAGCGGGTCTGGTATTACCAAAACAATGTGAGAAAAATGAGGTGGCTGTTTCAGTGGTCAACCTCCAGCGAGCGTATCGGTCTTCAGCTCTTGAGCCACGGTCACAGGACACAATGTTAAATGTCAACCACAGAAAAATAATATTTCCACCTTTAAAAAAAATCTATACTTCATTTTTCTTCTTCTGCTCCGTATTTCAGTACTTCCACTTTAAAGTGAGCAAAATACTCTGAAGATGGAGATTATACAGAGGGAGGGTTTTGTATGGAAAGGGTTGTTACTGCTGTATCAAATTTGTTCCATAACAAATGACAGCATCTCCTCCTAACAGGACATTTACTGTTGTGTTTTTCTTCCTTAAATACAAAAAAAAAAAAAAAATTATATAAAAGCAAAAAATTAGGCCCAAAAGAACTTGTTTAAGCCATAAAAAGGAAAAATGGGCTGGGCATCGACCGGAGGAAAGTGGAAAAATAGAAGGTACGATATAAAAATTAATTATTCTTAAGAACATGTTCGTTTAAACCTTAACATTCAAATCATTTTGAATTCAAATTTCTTAGATTACACATCTTGGTTAAAGATGTGAGCCAGAGTCCTGAAAATAACAAAATTAGTTAAAAAAAAAAAACAACAACCAACCAAACAAAAAAAAACCCTGATGAACTTCAGTTGGACAACTATAACGTGACTGCATGATATATAATCTTCTATTTCAGTATTTTTCAATTCAACAAGACATTTAAATGTCTGAGGCCCCTCGGTTTGAGCATGGGTGTTCAGAATGAAAAACAAATGTACCAAATTTGATTTTAAATTGTAATAGAGACGTTAATAACCAAAGGATCAAGGATTTCTTAGAATATGCCCCATTCTCCATAGCAGATTCTTTTCATTCTGAGCCTATTCTTCCTTAGTTCGGGTTCATACCCAGGTCTGAGCTACGTTCCCGAACTTTCTCCCTGTAGGAACACAGGAGAACACAGACCAGCATCCTCTGTAGCTGTACTCAGGGGCCCAGATGAAGGCACTTGGGTTAGAGCTGAAAGAATGTAGGTTAAAAAATCATCTAAGGTACAAATCACTAAGTTACAGGAAATAAAATAATTATGAATGAAGCACATGTATGGAAGATAGTAAATACAGGTGAAGACTTTTTTTTTTTTTTCCCTAATGGTACTTTCATTTTTCTCTCCAAACTGAAATGTAGCTGGGATTCAGACTGATCCCCAATAATGGAACAGCCGAAGAGAAAGTGGGGGACAAACACAGCATCAACCTGTGACTGCGTGTCGTACAAGACTGCATCCCTAGGAATTTCAAAGTCCTGCTAATTATCTCCTATTGTGGCCGATTTTCACCTGAGCTTGCCTTCAGGTAGGGGGGTGTGAGTATCTTAAAAATGCATTGCACTGAAAGGAAAACACAGTGATTATATAAAATATGTTAGGAATATCAAAGTCAAAATGAAGCTCGAAAAAGACAATAGGCTTTGCAATGCTGATATCAAAACTCAGAAAAGTACAGTGAACACTTAATGACAAGGCCATGCACACTCTTGCCCCCCTTGTCCACCCACCTTTCGGCTCACTATAAAAAAAGTTGCCCACAAAACATGACGCAGAATGATCACTTAGCTCCCAGCATGCTTTGGGAGATGCAGCATTGCAAAAAACGAACAAAACAAACAAATAAAAAATAACCCCTCCCCCAAAAATGGAGGTAAAAAAGAAGCGCAAACAATCCATAAAGAAATTTTTGCACATGAAATCAAATCGAAAATATTCTGCTTTTCGGAAGATGAAAACGTAACTTCAGGTAACGCCACAGGGCCACCTCTGGAACAGATCACCCATACACAGAGGCACGGTATACAAGTACGGCAGAACATGCATTCCCAAATGGTTCTATCAGACAATACCGAGTAAGTAACAGCATATCACTCTTGGAATGCTTTTGTGCAAAGTTCTGAAAGGCCAGACTCAAATCACAGGCTAGACAGAGCCGTCTCTCTACGTTTGTGGGTGAACACCCGCATCAGCGTATTTATCTTCCCCCAAAGCCACTATCTCTCATTAGGAGACCAAATTTGAGCCTTTATGTTTCTTTTACTGCACATTTTTTTAGTAAAAAGACAAATCTCGTTTTTTAAGGAATTCTCAAACGTTAATATTTTCACTGGTTAAACAATGTAGGAGAAGTATTAATTTTCTCCCAACATTCTTGATGCAAAAGCACAATTCTGTTGGACTGAAGAGAACATGACCCCGTATTTAAAAAAAGAAAAAAGAAAAAAAAGAGAGAGAGGAAAAAAAAAAAAAAAAAAAAAAAAAAGAACCCTGTGATGGACACAGGGCAGGCTGCAATTTGGAGTAAGGGCTGTTAAGGTTCACTCCATACCAACCCTGGACCAGGAACAGATTCGATCCTTTAGAGATCGAGAATGATTCTTGGTTTCAATTGCATCGTGACACTACGTTGCAGGGCCTGGGCCACTGCAATAAAAGGCTCAAAAAATAATGTACAGCAAGTGGAAGGTTTTACTAAATGCATTTCAAGTCATTAGGGGAAAAATTCAGAGAGAGAGAGAAGAGAGCGAGAGAGGATGAGAGAGAGAGCGAGAGCGAGAGCGAGAGAGAGAGAGAGAGGATGAATATGAATGAATGAAGAGATAGTGCAAGTGTCAATCCGTGATTGTCACGTGAACAATCCGCGCAGGAGAGAGCTGCTTTATCATTCCCCATCATTTGCACAAAGAAAACAAAGAAAGGGCAGATGATACAGTACCTCCATGGTCTGAGACTGATGCATGGCTTTGATTGCATTCTGTGCCATTGCCCTTGTAGAAAATGTGACAAACGCACAGCCTGTGGGGAACAAGGGGACAGGGAGCAGGAAAGACAAAAAACAACAAGACAAAAGGGTTGGACGCTTGTTAAACCAACACAGTCTACGAGAACTGCCACAGGACGACACTGTTCTCAGTAGTACATAAAAATCAACAACTTCTCTCTTGGCTTTATCTTAGTTGGCTTTTTACTCACAGTGCGGACTTGCTAATCTGACCGAAGCAGAAAGATTTATTTATTGACTAGTTTCTTTTTTAAAATGGAGATGAGGGGAAAGTAGTTAGGTACTTTTATTTTTCCTTTTTTTTTTTTTTTTTCCCCGGGGGCCGGTGGCGGGGGCGGGGTTGAAATTAGCAAGATCTAGTTTGCATTTTCTAAAATAAAAAGTTGCTATTTTACATTTTCTCCTTGGCTGATTATCTTTACTTAGGGCATCCACACATTTGGGCTTTGGATTTCAAATTTTAGCATTGATTTTTAAGCAGCAAATAATAAAATCCTCACACCAAGGGCAAATTAGCAAATAAATTCCAAGAGCTCGAAATGTGAGCAAATAAATAGATCTAATCTCTTCTGGGTTGTTAAAACATATATATGTATACATATACATTGATGCTATTTAAATGCAAAGAAATACACCACATCCTGCACAAACTTGTAATTATTGATTACGAACAAAAACAAATGCTCTATTACTCTGAGTGTATTGAACAGTGCATATAAGGCAAACCTTCATCTGCATTGGGTTTCTGAGTTGTATAAAATCTTTATGACTTTTCCAAGTTGTGATTTCAGAGATGCATCAGAGATCTGGCCTAACGTCTCACGTACACAAGACAATGTACAGTTCTCTGAATGCTTCCTGGGAGACCCATTCAACTTTCCGTGGTTCTTTATTTCTCATGCTGGAAAATAACCAGAATCTATATTGCCTGCTCCTTGTACAAGTGCTGGCCACCATGCAGGTCGCTGCTCCAACTACATGGCTCATTGCCCTTTTCACCAATAAAAACACGGCCTTCTGAAATTTACATTTTATTCATCATGCACCCTTGGGCTTCTTCGAGAAAAAGACTGTGAAATTAATGCAGATTCAGGCTGATTTTATAATAATAGCACAGCACACTAAAAGCTTAGCTAAAGCAGTGCAGACTTATTTCACTTATGATCTCTAATGACTTTAAAAGTGCATTGATTTTCAGCTTCTTTAGCTTTGCACAGTTTGAACTTAGGTATCAGAGAATAATTTAGTGTTCCACTCAATTTCTTCAAAACATTATTATTATTACTACTTAAAAGATTTCCAAATGAGGCAGATCTAAACACTGAGTGGCTGAAGCCTGTTGTCATTTCGGAGTGAAGGCGCGGGAAGTGGGATTCTGGCTCTTGCCCTGTGGCCAGTAAGCCAAATAGGTTGTTCCGCATCCAAACAGCCAGTGGACTGTTTGGTTTATGTAAGTCAATTTCTGAGCCATCAAATAGATTTTCTTCGTTTGCTCTGCATGTGTACCTGGTGAGATTATCAAGTCAATACTGCATTAGCACCTTTTAATCAAACAGCAATAAGAGAAAGCAACACCTGTCCATTTTCCCCAAAGCACAAAAACATCCAGTCATGAAAATAAGTCAATGCATTTTTTTTTTTTGCATCATGCTGTAATTTTTAATACAACAAAACTCTTAGTACATGGGAGATTCACCTCTCATTCACCTCCCGGTCCAGCTGGCCTTATGAAGCCTGAAGTCTAGCTTGCTATGAATGCCGAGCTGTTTCATACACTTCTCTGACATTATAGCAGCTAGTGAAACTCACTACTGAAGCACACTGTCTGCACCTCCACTGGCTGTAGCTTCTGTCATCAGTAAAGCTATCTGGAGCCTTCTCTAAGGCATCTAGAAGATGTGGGTAAGAGTGTGGGACATAGGATACCACCTCTACTTGGCTTCTGTATTCCAACTCAGCTCTACAATTAGCCCCAAATTTACCATCCACCTCAAAGTAATGCCCTCTTTCAAGAACATTGTGAATATCACCGACATCATTAACAGAAAGAAGTAACACTTAAGAATTTTCTTTTTCCATTTCTTGAGACTACAGTGGGGGCAAATGCAATTAATCTAATGGAGAGATCTTGGACATCGTGTGAAGCCTGGGCTAACTCTGCCTTTAACAGTCATGGAGATTGTGTCATTCACTTCGTTTGCTCTTATTATCCAGGAACATGTGCCAAACTGACAGTTTCCAAAAGGAGGTTAAGAATGCATAAAAAAAAAAAAAACACACATGTAAAATGTCAACAGAAATCAATAAGGCACAGTTGATGCATTTACCACAATTTCAGAACAAGTAGAACTTTTTAAAGTAACTTAGTGAGAAAGAAATAGCAATTAGCTGGTCTCAGAAGGATTAGCAATAGAATGATAAAATTCCATCTCTATAAACTCGAACCATTGCTCTTTCCTTTCTGAAACCTGCAATTAAAAGCTCGACTGATGCTTCTAATTATACAACCCTTACTGCATCCAGAAAAATGATCTGACAAATCTGATGACTTCTTTAACCTTTTTACTCTATTGGCAGTGGTGCAGTAAGAGAGAACCCATCTCCTCAGGGGCTCTGTCAACTTTGGTACCGTGTGCTGTGTTCAATTACTTAGGAGAGACAATTACTGTCGTTTATAAAGTGAGAGCACATGTCGAAAATTCCCCTCTCTATGCCATTCTGGATGAAGTTCCACAACTTCAGGACTGAATGTTTCATGGTTTGGTAGCTTGTGAACCTTTGTGGCTTCTGTTGGAACAGGAGGCTGTATTAGTCCTATGGCTGGATTTTAATTTTTCTTTTCTACGTGGCTTTAGGATTAGGCCTCAGATCCGTGGCTTTTCAAGAATATAGGGTCATATAAGCTCCTTGCATCAAGACTGGCTGCTAGCTTCTTCTACAAGCCAAAGGACTGGCTTTCCACTGGACAAAAGTAACTTAGGTCAACTGGCCCCTTTTTATGAAAAACAAGATTTGGGGTACAATGGAGCCCACTGGGTCTTGACAGAATTAACTGCTCTGACCTTACAGGGCCAGCCCTCCTCTGTTCTAGATTACTGGATGTACTGTCTCAGTAGTAAGTTCTCTGGCTACTGACCAAAATGCAGGAAACACTACAACAGAGAAAAAGACACAGGTACCAAGGAAATGAAGGGTTTTTGTTGTTGTTAGGTAAGATAGCCTGTATATTATTGTCTTAAAGCCTCTCCAAAAACATAATAGCGGGGGGGGGGGGGGGAGGAAAAAAAAACTTCCCTCCTTAAATGTGGCCAACCTGTAATTTACCTTACAATTATTTATGCTCTCCACTTTCACAATGTCACAGATTTGCTAACAGAAACGAAAGGAGCTGAACTCCCCCCTGTTCGGTGAGGTTTTGCCTTCTTGCTGCTAAAACAGATAAATGATTGACTGGGGAAAGGTTTCTCCAAGTAATTTCCTCCTACAGACAGGATCTAAGGAAATCACGTGGCCCTGTCACAGAGAAGATTCTGGAACACATCTATTACACTTGTCATCTCAACTGAAAGGCTGTCTTCACTCAGGTGTTCTACCTTTTCTCTCAGCTGCAAGAGAATTTTGAGAGAACTTGATGAATTCTTGGTCTGCAGAAAGAGAGAGAACGGGCACTTTTAAGGCACATACAATGCCAGGGCCTCCTGCTTTTCTGCTGCCTCTTTGCAAGAGAAGCAGCAGCCTGCTATGTTTCAACTGAGGGAAGCATAATTTAAAATAACTTGTGCAGCATGAAGGAGCTTTCAGCCTATGGAAAACTTGTTTATAAATTCCCAAAGAAAGTTCTCAATGCAGCCAATTTTCCTTGCTGTATCTTTTTAGCAGTGGCACGATTTATTAAAACATACGCTACCAGTATAATGAGAGAGCATCAAAACTAACACACCAATGCACTGTCCCTGATGTTGGGTTAGTTTATTTAAAATTGGCATGGAGAGATCACTCGTTTATGGCACCTGAGGCTGAGGGCAGAATAGGACTTAAGAGTTTACAAAGTTTCACCCCTGAGATGAGATTTGAAGATTGTATTCAGAATAAGATGACAGAATGCAGTTAATAACCCAGGGGCATTTGATACGAGTTTCCACATATGCTTAGATACTACTTTGTGGGCAAGCCTACAATGTCGTGATCAAAACGGAGTCTGCTCTGTGTACATGCTTTTAAAGTCAAAAGCCCGATCCTAATATTCTGATCAGATAGAACAGAAACAAATGAGGATTTAATGGCTACAACCAGTCTGTGCTCGCCAACATCCCCGAAAATATTGCCAATTCATTTGTCAAGGGTTTTGGCAGGAGAATGTTGGAACACCATAAACACAGCTGGAATATTCTTAAACAAGCAGAAAGTTACCTTAAATGGCAGTGAAGATTTGACTATACTTTATGGGAAAGAAAAATGAAATAAACTCTTTCATTGTCTCCGAGTTACAGATAATCGTTGCCATGGTGCAGAAAACCCTGTAGACTGTACCCAAATAGTCCATTCTGACTGTGGGATTATGGGTAAGTGAGAACATGTGTATTTTAGGAAATCAGCATGCTAAGGGGACGCTGACAACTAACTGCACGGGCTTGGATGACGTGAGCTTTGCTTCTGAGAGCAAACATCCCATGTGACTTCCCACGCATGGACTCCGTGGCCTCCTGCTCGCTTTCTCAAACAAGGTTCATACGGCAAGCCTGGGGGTTGGCCTGCCACTGCAGAGGGATCAGAGTGTTGTGAAGGGGCCTGAACGCAGCCCAAACCAGGTTTTCCAAATTAGAAGACATGGCAGAACGGGTCACTGCCCCCCAAAAGGGGAAAATGCGCACTTAGATGCGGGCATACTGCGTCAAGAGAGTCAGACTCCTGACATCTGCTGAGTGCTGGTCTCAGTGTGCCTGGCAGATGATGGCTGCGGTCCGTGGATAGTCATGACAATTCCTGGGGCGGGGGGGGGGGGGGTGTCACGGCACAAATCTGGACGCTGGGGAGTACTGATGGGACTCTGTAAATAGCCCTTCTTGTCAACATGGAGATGAGGAGTTTTGTTTTAAAGATGATGATTCTAAGTATAGCAGAGCCGTGGGCCCTGGCAACTCGCTACTCCGAATCAGTGGGGCGGAGAAGCTTCCACTTCATAGCCTGCGGGGAGGGGCAGAAACTACTGAAGTAGCAGAGAAGAGATGACAGGAGACACCCGCAGGGGAGCTAGCGCCACTCACTAACTGCCTCTCTCGTCTGCGTTCCCGTAGCCGAACTGGGCAAGGGCAAAGGCAAAGCCAGAGAGGTGAACCACTTTTCTGTCCCTCTCCCTGATGATCGGATGGTTTGATCTGACAACTTTTTTACTGACTAGTTCAATACTCAGTTTAGTATTAGAAGGTGCTTTTCAGAGCAGCCAGGCTTTCCCTTTCACTTATTTATGTATTTATTTACATCTTCAATGGCTGAGCCGGCAACAGGCCTTGAGAACAGAAACGCTGAGCACCCTTTCTCTGCAGAGCCACTAACGGGAGGCACTTATTAATATTTGATTGAAAACTGCAATTCTTTAACGAAAGCAAAATAGTAGCACGAAAGAGAATTGTTCTTTTAACAAATACACTGATTCAGGAGCAGGCCCCTGTACCCAGGAGTCCCCGGGTCTCGCTAATTGAAAAACCTACCACTGTCTGCCTTTGTATTTCAGAACAAACGGTTATAAATGAGTATTTTCCTTTTTGCCACAGGGAATCCTCATCAGTTCACCAGAAATTACTTTTCTGTTAAGAAGGAGAAGAAGAAGAAAAAGGGCAGGGAGGAGCATCTGACTCTTCACACCGGGCCGGCATCCGCATAAAATACGGATGAGGCTGCTCCCATAACTTGTCTTAGAAATCAGCTGCTCCGGGTTTCCAGTGCTGGCTCATCAACCACACGGCAGATCAAATGAGCCAAGCGCTCTCGTCGAGTAGTGCGTCCTCCTCTTTCCTGCGAAAGCTGGGGCTGCTTTAAAATCTTATCTGCAGGAATCGCTCCCGGACACTGAAGGAGCTCTACACACCGCAGGCACAGCGCTCTTCATTGTGGTCTGCGCTGGCCGGACACAGAGAGTGCGTAGCGCGCCCCCTCCGGCAGAGGGAGAGCAGCGGTCACAGTGTCGCTAGGCCCCGGGGATCGTCCGCTTATACAGGACATCTGCCACACCGGGGAGCTAGCGACGCCCGAGGAGGTGAGCGGGGCGCGTGTTGTGACTGCTGCCATCTGCAAAGGGGGAGACTGAGGGGCGGAGACAGGGAAACGAACTGACTCTGGTTACAGTTCACGTCAGAAGTCCTGGGACTGACTGGACGTCGGGGGTCACTGACCTCTAAGCAACTATGAATGTCACTAGGATTTCCTCAGGGGCCTCCTTTCTGTTCCTTCCCCGCGCTGCATGCCTTGGTGCATGAAAAGCTGCCAACATGGAAGCGTGACGGTGAATAAGAACAGGCGGGGACGGTGGCTCTGACTGCTACAAGGGCAGCGGGAAAGGACCACGAAAATGCGATCTCGCGTTGCCTCCCTACTTTATTCTGTCTAGCCGCACCGCCGGTCCCCGGGGCCTCTCCCCCCTGCTGGCCCGCCTGAGTGGGCACGAATCGATCACGACTGTGGCACAATCAGACGATCCGACGTGACTGGAAGCTCTCACGGAGTCCACGTGCTGCGGTGGCACAGAGGGCCCCGGGACCGAGGTCCCCCCGCGTCCCCTTGCACCGGAGGTTGTGCGGTCGCTGGCATGGGGCGCGGCTGTGGGTGCCGCCGGCGACAGCGTGGGTGCTATGCTACGGCTCAGCCCCGGGCACCGCATCCGCATGGGACCTGTTCAGCTTTCAGAGCGGCACGTGTTTTCCGTGCGGCGAGTGACAACCTTCGGAGCGATCAGGGAACGCTCCGGCCGTCATTCCCAAGCCACCTTCGGAGGAAAGTACAGGGACCGCAGGCTCGTGGCTTCCTCCTCCTGTCCCCCTAGACTACCTCCCTGTGGGGCTCTGGAGGTGGACGTGGGCGGAAAACTCCGGTTCTCTGCGCCTGCGGTTCCCGCAGCTGACACCGGGAAGTGTCACGTCTCTAAGTCAAAAGAACCAATGTTCTTCCTCACATGGTGCTGAATTTAGCTAAAATGAGGGAAATGGGTGGAAATTAGTGCTTTGGGACTCAAGGGCCAACCTTTGCTTTCGGCATGTGGCTCGAGACGGCAGCGCTGTCCCAGAACCTGAGACCAGGAATGAAAAGAAGTTTCTAATTAGCCCCGCGGAAACTGTATCGATAAGCACATTAAGAGAATGAAATGCTCTTTGTACTGCAAACGTACGGAGCTCTTAGAAGAACTGGAGGATATGTTTTACAGATACACTCTGACTCAGGCCTCCTGGGCTGTCTCGGGAAACACGGTCAGATGAGGGTGAATTCTGGAGCGCTTGCGGGCGGTGGAGGGAAGGGTCTGTGTGGCGCTGTCCAAGGGGAGGCAAACATGGAAAGAAAACGGTTAGCTCCAGCTGCCGTGGATGGCTGCTGGCAAAAATACTGGTTTTCATCAATGCTCGAAGCCACAGCGGCCGGTTCCGTCACGGTGACAAAGAGGAACCTGCCATCTCCGGGACCGCGTCATCTCTGCCACTTCACGGACTTCCTGCGCTCAGGCCTCCAGGAGTTCTGCTCTTTGAAATCAAAGCCTGAGACCCCAGGACAGGCCCAGTTATTCTGAGTCCCTACCTGCTCTGTGCTACGGGGAACCACTGATGTTTGTCCTCAGTTTCTATCGCCATCAAGCGGCCTGTCCCCTCCCCATTTCTCTCAGGCATGGGCAGAAAGCTGGAGACTCGGATGAAAACAACAAATATTCTCTCTCCTCCTCCCCATCTCTCCCTCATCCGCCAACATCTACTTCAGTGTGAGATAGAAAGGGATGTGAACGACAGGACAGCCTGTCGGCCTCCGGGCTGGCCGGGACAGCCTGAGCTAATAAGTTGGCATCGAGACCTTGTCGACCTGAGAAATACAAGGTGATCACTTCGACTACGGTGAAAAGTTCAGGTTGGACAACTTGATCACACGGGACGCATTACAGGGTGACCTCTTGCTGTGTGCGGTGGCTACATCTACCTTGATGGTGACACAGAGTTCCAATTAGCACTTGAGGGAAGAGACTTTGCAGACAGCACACTCACCTCGACTCAGCCCGTCGGGTCCCCGGAGAATCCGGCATTCTTCTATCTGGCCAAATGGAGAAAACATCACCCTGATATCATTCTCATTACATTTCTTCGAAACCATTCCTATGAACAATTTTCGGTCTTCCACGGCTAGGAGATAAAAATAATGAATGAGCAAAGGCCGTTTTATCCCGTTTCTTGTAATCACGGCTTCATTACCACATCAAACCGGGTCCCAGCCACGTGAGACCCAGCATGGGCCGAAAGCCAGCTCTTTCGACTTCCAGGCTGCCTTCCTTCTCTACCCCACCCCGTCCTGCCTCTACTCTCCCTTCCTGAACACTGCCTCTTTCTGGCGCTTGTTCTTACCAACATGACATCTTCAGAGGACACGGAACACTGTGAGGTCCTCTCTTCCCAACCCTGTTTGGAAACTCGGTTTTCCCTAATTTGTTCAAGCTCCATGGAGTTGCTAAAATACTACCATTCCATAGAGATACTTTAGAATACAGGTTAAAAACTTTTTTTTTTTGGTAGATATTCTTTTAACTTGAAGAATGGCAGAGAAAGAAAAAGGTCAGGGAAAGAAAGGAACAGAGGGAGTGGGATAGGAAACAGATCTTTTAATAAAGCATTCAGCGGGGAAAACCTTCTCCCCCAACTTCAAATAGCTTTGGACCCATGGATCCAGACAGTAAGAAGAGATAAGAGAGATGCTCATCTCTCTGGAGAGCCAGCAAAGACCTTCCATGGCTGTCTGTCTGTCCGTTGCACTGGCTGTGCAGCTCTAACCAGGACAACACAGGGTTTGCAAGCGAAGAGGACGGCAATTCCAAGGAAAGAATGGGACTGGGGCTACCTGAGGATCGCACCAGGATGACCCCATCGGGAACCCGTAACAAAAAAGAACAAGGAGGGAATAGGACTGTTCTACAACCCAGAGGCAGGACTCTCGATGAGCAAAAATACATTTTGGGTATCATGACAACAAGAAACCAATTCCATCGTGGAACCTGCCAGGAGGTACAGACTAGGGAAGGTTTACGTCTGATGACCTGGGAGATTTTCCTCAAAATCTACAAGCTTGTGCTCAGGATAATTGGCCTACGTTTAGCCTCAAAGGCACAATTATAACTGATTTCAGGACAGTGTTTGCAGTCCTCTTTAGGAAAGAGAAAAGACAAAAAACAAAAAACAAAAACACCAAACATTCCCCTCCCTCCATTTTACAATGAAAACAAAACAAAACAAAACAAAAAACCCACCCTCGATGCCCATGGGGAGTTTTATTTCCCATGTTGCATTTTAACCCATTTCTTGAAATTTAAAGAAAGGACAACCAGCTGCACCAGCACCTGAGAGGCAGTCCTGGCTTCGGGAGGGGCCCTGCCATCCATCCCTGTGTAGGAACCCTTGCTGTCGTAGCTGTACCATAACCTCATCACTGCCATCTAACTGGCTTTTATCTCTCGGTTATTCTTTCCCTGGAGAGTCAGTGTCTCATTTCCACTTAACCGACAAGACCGTGTTATAGAATTGCCAGGGCCAGGTGCTTTTGGTGCCTGAGTCAAGCCGGCCCGGGGCGCCCGGGGAGCTGGGAGAGAGCCGCTGGTGATGTTGGGGCATCATGACACAGGGAGGTTTGCTCTGGAGCAGACAGCCTCGGAGGACCCGGCAGGAAGGGAACCGCTCCGTCTCGGATGTCCGCTGCAGTAGCTAAAGCCATGTGAGCACCTGGAACCTGGCTAGTGTGACTGAGGAACTGAACTGTTACTGTGAGTTAGTTTTAATCTAATTTTAAAAAGCCACATGTGACACTATATTGGATGGAGCAGCTCCGAGGGGCCTCAGTGAGGCAGCTAAATGCTCTCCCCACGGAGCCCCAGACCGGAAGGAAGACACGAAAGACGTGGTTCTAGTTGGCTCTGAAGCGGGGCAGTGAAGGAACTTGCCCGGGGCCGTACCTGATGCCCTACTCCCAGCCCTTCCCTACGAGAGCAGAGGAGGGTGAGGTGGCCTCCAGAGGAGCGTGGGGCGGGGGCGGGAGACTTGCCTGGTCCCAGCACTGCCGTCACGCTGATGCGTGACCTTGGGGAGGGAGTGAGTGGACTTCTGTGGACCTCAGTCTTGTCACCCACAGAATGAGGTTTAAAGTCTTCTCTTTCCCCGCTGTCTCTCCTCGGTAACAGAGAGAAGGCGGCCCAGCTGCATGTTTGGGGCGGGAGAACGCCAGAGCCCAGGATCCCACCTGCCAGCCACCCTCTGCACTTGGCAGCTCCTGAGACCCGGCAGGAAAACAAGGGCTCCGAGGGACGCCAGCAGAGACCACGACGCCACAGGACTGTGAGCTGCGGAGCGTGCGCCAAGAGCTTGAGAAAGGTTTGACGGGCGGAGAACGTGGCATTTAAGGTGGACTTTAAAGAGCTTGGGGAGAGTCTGGCGGAAGGATGGGGGTAGCAATTCCGGCGGCTTCCGCAGGGTGGCTCAAGGTATGAGGGAAGGAAAACTCGGTCCACGGCCGCTGCCTGCGTTGAGCCTCAGCAAGGTGGACGTGGGCAATGGCGTCACTGACTTCCCTCCTGCAGATGAACGATTTCACGCCTCAGAAGCTCTTCTCTCTCCCGTCGGAGCAGGTGAGCCACCAGTGCGGTACTGGGAAGCGGTGCAAGTGAGTTAAGCGTCCGTGCTCACCAACACCAGGGTGACCAGGAGTGCACGGTGGCCCCAAGGGAACGAGGCATCCCCGCGATGGGCAGGACCGGACTGAAGCCTGGCAGAGCAGGCAGTGGGAAACTCTTCCAGTCGCAGCCTTAACTCCCCCCCCCCCCCCCCCCCCGCCATCTCTGGGACTCCTACTTGAGGAAGCTATGGCTGATAGCTTCTTGAGAGTTAAAAAAAAAAACAAAAACAAAAAAAACAACAAAACTCAAAAAACAAATCCTGTCGAATTTCTTCTTATCCTGAAGAAACCAGCTTTAGTTCTTTCCAACAAAAGCCAATGACAAATCCCCAGTGAGTCCCTGGTTTCACTGGTAAACCTATCACGGTGGTACGCAGCTGAAGCATGTTGCCGGTTTTGAGCTTCGGGGTGATGCCGGAGCAGACTAAATGGGCAACTCGTGACTAAGCTAAAAAATAATTTTTAACCCAAGATGAAGAGTACAAACTGCTGGAAATCACCAGTAAACAAGCCCCGGCTTCCCAGGCATCACGACAGGCCAAATCTGGGCAGGGTGACGGAGGCGAACTCTTTCTCCAGTAACGAGCAGCCGCTGAGGAAATAAAATAGAAACCTACACGATCCACAGGCTTTCCAAAAAGCGGATTTCCTCCTGCGCATGCGCCGCGTCAGAGAAGCCGGATGTTCACAGTCGTGTTAGCGGAAGTCCTCTGTGGTTTTTAGCAGAGGGCTCCCTGTGCTTTAGTGGCGAATGGGGATAACGACCCAGTGCCAGCTTTAACCTCCTTCAAGTTTTCCCAGTGGAAATTTATTTGTAAGACTCATTCTTGGGATTCCCACTCGGAGGACCCCTAAACAGCTCTGTCACCATTTTACATAAACATAATTATCTTCGCATTTCACTTAACTTTTTTCATCAATTTCTGATGACTTTCTTGGTGGGGCTTTTCGTCAGTACTCCTAGGCAGTCAGTGTCTGTGTTCTATCCCCGGGAATGCAGATTGCTGAAATATACCTATTGTGTTTATAGCATTGTGTTAAGTGCCTTACGGAAATTAAAAAAAAAAAAAAAAAAAAAAAGAATGAAAAGGAAACGTCTCTGCCTTCCAGGAGGAAAGTCTACTTTCCTTCAGGATAACCCATGAATGAGTAAAGGCAGATACTTTGTGTAGAGAACTCTGTGCAGGTGTGGGGTAAGTGCCATCACTAACAACCACAGAGCCGAAAAGGTGTTCCATACCGGCAACCGTTGCAAGTTCTCCTCCGGTGGCAGGAGAGAGGGTTAATATTTTAAATTTTTAAGGGGGGATTTTTCAGTTTGGGGAATAGAAACTTTCATGAAAAAAAAAATCCCTAATTGTAAGTCTGCGCTAACACCCCGGTGTATAATCTGTCAAAGTCACACCTGGATTCAGGGCGGCCTGAATTAATTAACAACTTTTCAATGTGTTAGTGCTAACATATGGCATTTAATTACTGCCTCCAAATCCGTGAGTCTCTCTGCTTTGAATTTCAAAATTACTTCTTCCTCTTCCAGTGAGTCAGAAAGTGACCGGATGGGAACACCCTGTGAATCCCATTTTCACTGGAGGCTTGCAGGCCTGCACCTCCCAGACAACATTTAGTTATCTTGACCCTGCGAGCTCTGAACTTGACACAGGGACACCAGGGGTTCTCGGAGGCCTTGAGAAAAGAGAAAGGGCTGACGTGGCATTTCTGGATGTGAGGTTTAAGGACCCCCGACAAGTTGGGAGGTTGGAGTTAAGGTTAAAGCAGAATAAATTTATGCTCTGTCCACAGAGTGAAAAAAGAAAGAAACAAAACAAAACAAACCCCTCTCAACCAGGAGCATGACAGAAGAGTGAACGCTGGTTGGTCGCTGAGACCCCCGGCACAGAACCAAAGGCAACGTCTACGCTTTTCTTACTGCTAGACAAACTTCAGATCTCGCAACTGTGCTTACTTTTGAACTGTGCGCAGCTGGCACCTTTTTCTGCATCGCAAAGAGAGCTGGAAAAGCAGCCCTCTCAAGGTAGACAGAGTGAAAGACTGTAAGTAACTGTGTTTGTGCCAGGGTAAGCTGTGACCTGGAATCCACACCTCCTCAAGCCTCTTCCCCTGCCATGACTCAACCGGATGCAATGGAAAAACAAGACAACTTGGATTCTGTGGAAATCTGGGTATTTATTCAATGCGTGTGTTCTTCTTAAAGGCCCCAATATTTTACTGCTGATCCGGAATGGATTTTTTTTTTTTTTTTTTTTGACACCTGGCACAGTTAGAAACACCAGGGCAGAAGTATAATGCTGTGAGTTTGCAGAAATGTGCTAGAGGCTGCAGCTTAAATCACAGCCAATTAAGAGGGCAGGCTATAGGAAGCCTGGAGATTTGGAAAGCCCGTTTGGTCGGCAAAATACCGAAGGGCAGGGCAGATCTATGAGCAGCCTAACATTTCTGGGCTCACCATGGCAGTTCCCTTTGTCAGAATCTCTAGATGGACAAAGGCTTCAAAGAGTGATTGCTTTCTGGAATTCATTTGTCCATCACTAATTAATCTGTGATTAGCAGCCCTTTCTTGCTGAGCAAATACAAAGTTTCCGAAAGCCGAACATACTGATAATGAAGACGGTAACTGTCTAACTGTGATGAGTCCTTTGTGCAATCCATAAATGTCAGCAAACTCAATAAAGGTGCAATTAGACCTCGTTATTCTTCTTTCACAACTACTGAGAGCATCTGAGCCAAAGAAATCTTTGTGCTCTAGGAACTTTGGAAACTATGCTTACCTGTCAAAACTGCCATGTGCAATCAGAAAGGGCTTGTGGCTTTTATCACTTGTTTTCGAAAATGATACATTTCTCCTGACTCCTCAATCAGGTCCAAGGAGAACCCTGAAGCCGGTTCAGTCTATGCAAGGTGAGGCACAGACTTTGCACCTCCATAAAGACACATGATTTAAAAGGAGCTGCTTCAGTCCACTTACATTTTTTGACTTCTTTTTCTGAGAACTCAGAAAATGAAGGTCAATCTACAAAGCAAAGGAGGAGCTGGCCCAACGAGAAGGTATGCGGGAGTGAATTTTCCCTTGTGTATACAGATCTGTGCTTTGGTATGAAAACCCAAGGCTGGAAGTGCCGGCCTCTGCTGCTCAGAACGCACTAAACCGGCTGCCTCGGGAGGCCACAAATGCGCCGAGGACAGAGTGAATACCTTGGCAGGTATTATGCTAAGTTCTTTGGAGATGTTAACTTATGTGCTCCTTGAACAACCCTGTAAGGTGGGCCATACAGGAAGTGTTCAGACTGTAGACCACGGTAGCCTCCTCTTACAGCTGGAGATACGGGGTCGGCTGAGGTCACGGGACATGCCCACGGACACAGCTAATGTATGCAGGGTCAGGGGTCAAGTCTGGACTCCCCCAGAGAGCTTTTAACTGCCACCCTGAGTTGCTTCTTGGACAATGGCATTTTTAGGGATGCTCTCATCTTAGTAAAACGGTGTCTAATCCTGCTTGGCACCTGAGATCGTGCCCTGCTGGGCTCGCCAATGGCACATCCACTCTGTTGCTGTGGTTCTAGACCCAGAGCAAAGATCACCCTCAGTGTCCGGAGCTGCCACTGGAAACAAGGGCGACCAACACTCTGGAGACCTCCAGGTGGCCAGCCTACGGGATGGATTCTCTAAGTCAGGTCTGTGCCCACACAGCAGCAAATGCTAAAGAAGAAACCTTTTCATGGTCCCACTACTTGGGTATTTCAGGTCAAATATTTCCAGTTCAATTCTCCAATTCGTCTTGTTTTAACAACCGCGACTTAAGGTTCAGAAATAAGACAAACGTTCCTCCGTGGCCCTTGTCCTGACACAGTTGAGAGAATTAGGAGTCCAAAGGAAAGAGAGCATCTCTAGGTGGCCAGATGCTCCAAGATGACCTTCACGGGCAACGTTCATCCCAAATACATGAGTCCTCTCTCCACGAGGAATAGAACAGACCAGACTGTAAGTGGGTACTTCTGGAGCAAAAAGGCTCAGGAACCGGCATGGGTACCTGGCCTTCTTCCTGTAGACACTCTCAGTGCAGAGCTCTCTGAGGCCGTGGAAAAATCTGGGTCATAACGATGATCTGCATTTTATAGAAGTGGTGCTCTATCCTTTGCAAAGCACTGTTGTGAAGATCCTATATGAATCTAAAAAAAAAAAAAAAGCCAACCTACACGAGGCAGCTACATTTATTCCCATTTCATGAACGAGGAGATTAAAGTTCGGTCTTTAAGTGACCACCGGATCAGCAGACTGAAGGTCGGGAAGTTCCAAGGGTCAGGTCAGTGTCTCCGTAGCCGTCGTCTTCAGATTCACTGCAGCAGCCCCAGCCCCTGGCAACGCCCCTGGTGCACAGCGGTCACCAATGAGTAACTGCTGAATAAAGGACCCAAGAGACCTGCCTGAGGTCCCGGGGGACTTCAGACCCTCTGACGCCGGATGCCTTGTTCGTGGTTAAGGTAGTAGGGGTAGGGGATGGGAAGAGACCCTGGGGCAGGGGTGCGGCAGGTGAGAAGACAGTGGGCAGGGCGCAGAAGCCTACTCCCTTACAGACAAACTGGGTGCTACTAACGCCACGCTCCCACCTGGCCTTTTGTTCAAAACTTCCTACCTCATCTGTGAAGAAGCCAGAAAATGGGATGCACTACAATCAGCCAAAAAAAAAAAAAAAAAAAACCAAAAAAAAAAAAAAAATAAAAAAACACCCCAAGTACCTTGAGGAGAGCCTTAGACCCCAATCATCATTTACATTTGCAGATACGCAGCTCTCCAAGCGCACGGCTTCTGCCCTGATTACTAATTAATGAGGTGCAGACCTGCTCGTGGAGGCAAACAGTGATGATTGTGTCAGTCTTGTGGGGCGGAGCCGCGCCCAGGTCTGAGAAGGTAGAGGGTTCCTTCAACATACACTTCAGGAAAGTCAAAGAACAAAACCGGGACAGAGGCGGGTGTAAACGGCAGCAGAAACTTATGAGAGCGAAATGTGGCTATCAGCCCTCCCCTGTGTCGGAGAGCTAAATCTCAATTACTTCCCGGACCTCATCACATGCATATTTTAGTACCGGGCATCCGTTTATTTAATCAGCCCACTGAATTCGGAATGAATTCGGATGCAAATGCATCGGTACAACTGAGAGAAAAGAGTGCCATTGAGGAACACGCCAGAGGGAGAAAAGAGACAGCCGGCCCGATCCTCAGCGGGTGAGCCCTTTCCAACTCATCTGCTCCACACACTGTGAGGTCCCTCCTCCCCGTCGGGTGTCCTGGGTTGCTCTGTGCCAGGAGATCAACAAGATGCAAAGGCCACAGAGCCACTACACGAAGCAAGCCTCAAACGGAGGGACCCCGAAAACCACTTCTTGTAACGTCTTCACAGATCTTGACACCAGAGGTGAACTGAGGCAGGGGAGCGGCTCCTGCGGTTCTCCAGCTAAGACACCCGCAGGGCAAGTCCCCTGCAGCAGCTCCCCCCTCCCCTCCCCGAGCCGAAGCAAGTGGGGCCGCCGCCTCCCTCCCCCCACCTGACTTCTTAATTGAAAGAAACAGACAGTATTAAAAGAGACAGTTGGTCACCACCTACCGTTTGACTTTTCACTATCGGCAGGTTTCATCTGAATGGGATGATGCATCTAAAAATACAAAAGTGAGAAAGTAAAGGCAGATTGAACAAGTGTACGAACGGCCTCAGAAATCCCACGCTGTTCAACTTGAGCACGGATACTGTCATGAGGACACAGAAACAAAAACAGGATCTCTCTCCATGAACAGCAGCGCCGTTAGGAGGCAAGCCTGCAGTTACATGCAGGAACAGGATTCTTTGGAGTCACTGGGCATCACGGCACAGTATTTAAAAGGTTGGGCTTTGCAGTCAGACTGGAGTTTACTGGAGTTTACTGGAGTCAGACTGGTTTGCCATTTGGTAAAGAGTTTCCGCCTGTATCTTATAGGTAATTCTCGCTCTGCCGATCATCGTCACCACTGATCTTGGGCAAGTGTCTCAACTTCTCTGAGCCTCAGTTTCCTTATCTGTGAACGCTGAGTATGAAATAAGGAAACGCACGTGAAGGGCTTAGTTAAGAGGGCACGGGACCTGCTGAGAAAGATGATCTATAGTCACCTTGTAACTCTTACAAATCTAAACACAAGCCTGTCTTCGTTTTTCCTGGGGCCATTCTGATGGATTTTCCCTAGATCTCATTGTCATTTGAAGGCCTCTCATCTAGATTGACTTAGGCACCATTATATAATTTTTCTTAAATACAGAGTATGAAATAGGAATGCGGACCCAGGAAAGGAAGGAGGAGAAGGGAACTGGGGAGGGAGGGCGGGAGGCACGGATCTCACGATCCTGTCCCCTCTGCAGGTGTGCAGGAGCGGAAGGAACCCGAGAGAGACATCGTGGGGCCAAGGTCCTGAGCTCCTCTGTGGCTCTTTACACAAAGCCCGTCTCACCCCCGTGCGTGGTCCGTAGAGTTCACTCCAAGCGCAAGAACGCTACCACCATTTCCAATTAAAATAAATTCCTCCAACCACTTTCAAAGGTCCTCTGGCTTCGTATTTCAGCACACCCCAAGGAACCTCGGAGCCACAGTGTCGATGGAATCACTGGCCGTGCAAATGCTCTCATTATAATGGGTCCCGTTCTCTCTGAACCTTTAACTCGCCCAGCGGACTTCCATCACTTGCAAGCCACAGCCCTGGGTTTTATCTAATTTAAAGGAGAGGGCAATGGTACTTGGCTCTGGCCCTTAAATGACGGGCAATTGTCATCAGGCAGGCTGGCCCACGTGCAGCTGACGCCTGCCAGGGTCTTCACAAGAGGGGTGAGGGAGTGCTATCAGGGGACAAGAGGCTACATAATGCAGAGCTGCTCCGTTTATTCTAAAAGGCAAGGCGCTCTTACTCCCTGAACATAGACCCTGACGTGTGGGGTCTACTCGGGTCTCCACTCCATTAACATATTCAATTTGTGAAGGAGCGGGATGTTCGGGGGTCAGGAAGCAGACCAGTCTTTTTTGGAAAAGCCTGGAACACACCCCTCAAAAAGCAGGCAGAAGTGAACGGTGCAAAGCCCCGGTCTGGGCTAGGAGTGTGGGCTCTCCCCTATAGGTGATGCCTGGGGAAGACGGGCCGAGTCCATGAGCGGCACGTGAAGCTCCCAACGTGTGCCAGGCTCTGGGCGAAGAGCTGGGGAACAAGGCCAAGTGAAGAAGCTCTGACGCTTCGGGGGCTGTGTATGGGGGGGGGGGGGGCTGACCTGTAAACAGCCCCTCGAGCACGTCAAGTCCCATGGCAGACACGAGGACAGGGTGCGGCAGGGCCCGGGCGGAGCAGGCACCTCCTCCTGCCCGGGCAGCAAGGCGAAGGCTTCTTAGCAAAGGGGGCAAGTGGTTCGAGTCCTAAAGGCCAAGCTGGACTTGCTGGCAGGACAGGGAGAAACGGTATCCGAACGACACGGTGTCCTGGGCCAGGCCCAGTGGTGAGAAGGAACACAGCTGTCCCTGGCAAGAAGGCCAGCACACGTGGGGGGAAGGACACCAGGGGAGCTGCGGACGCAGTGGGCCCCCGGGTCTCAGACGATCCTGCACGCTAAGGAACAGAAGTTGTGTCTAACAGTCAAGTCAGGCGCAGAAGATTCGAGTAGCAAGGGCCACAAGGTCAAATCTGAATTCTAGAAAAGTCCTTTCTGGCTACAATGTGGTGGATGGCTTATGCAAGAGGGATATGGAGGGAGACAGCTAAGAGGCTACTGCAAGCGTCCGTGTGAAACTGCCGAAGGCCTAAACCTCAGAGGCAACTGGCTGGTTGTGGGGGTGAGGGGGAGAGACCACCATTGTGGGATCAGGGCCCCAGTAGAAGGAACACGAGAAAGCAATCTGGGGGGAGACTGATGAGCCCAGGTCTGGACACGCCCCACTCAACGTGACTGAGGCGGGAGAGCAGTTGTGGGAGTGGTTTTCAGGCTGCGGCGACGGCTCTGGGGGGTGCTCCCCGCAGCGGGAGCCACAGGCATGCAGGGAACTGTCCAGGAGGGGGTGTAAGTGGAAAGAGCCAAGAGCCCAGGAGAGCACCACAGAGAAGAGCAAGAAAGGGGAATCTAAGAGGGACAGGGCAGAGGGCGGTCTGAGGCAGGGCCTCACGGGAGAGCTTGAAGAACAAGGCACTTCCAGCCGCGACGATGAAAACGCCCCAGGATCCTTCTGGATTCGACAATAAGATATTCTGGAAACTTCTCCAAAGCAGTTTTTGTGGGGCGGCGGGGGCGTGACAGGGGGGACAGCAGCAGGAGACAGGAGAAATGTACGTGGCTTTCTCAAGATGAGCCGCCAGGGTGGGTGGGAATATAAAAAGCTCCGTGGAGTCAGGGCCAGAGGTGGGGAGGTGGAGTCCGTCTTCCCCAGACAGCAAAGACGTACAGGTGAAAGTGCAGAGAAGACTCAGAGGAGAGTCACAGGTCAAGGCAAGGAGAGGGGTATGTGTGCCGACACCACGTACGGACACAAACGCGAACGAATGGCCTTCTGCCCGCAGCAAGCTTACGATCCATCACGGTGTTTGGTACGGACACGTATGAAGAAGAATAAGCGGTGGTCAACCTGAGAACAGGAGCCCAGACGGAGCGCTGCAGGCGGTGAGACCAACCTCTGAAGTGCGGGAGTTCTGGAAGCTTTCATTCTGCAAGAAAGCCTTCTACTCTAAGGCGGTAAGAGGCCCAGGGAGCATTCAGTCCAATGCTCTCCATTTATCGGTCTGAAGGGAATAAGGACTTCACTAAGGACACAATTTTTGCGATCAAACAACCTAAGCTGTCTCTTCTTAATCCAGAGCCGATTCCCCCAGATCACACCGCTTCTCCACAAAATGTCCAACGTGGGGCCTGGACTTACGAGACTATGATGAAGGACTACAGGCCCTGCCCACCGAAGCCGCTGTAATAACCTGTCAAGTCTGCGCGCACCCCCCCCCCCCCAACCAGGCCACTTCGTGTAGCTTTATGACAGGCATTACTCTAAGACTTGACTCTCGCTTTCCTGCCGCTGCTGAATTAGCTCCGTTTCTGACCTGACACTACCCAGAAGGTTCTGGAATGTAACAGTGGCGGTCAGAACACAGCTACTGCCACTGCAGACCTGAACTCGGTTCTGGTCTTTCCAGGGCCCAGAGAGGCAAAAAGTCAACTTCACGTAGTTGGATGGTCAGAGCACGGCAAATTCTGAACAGGTGGTCGCCCTCCTTCGTGTGTATTCTGGACTGCTCAGATCATGTGTGCACAGCGCTGTGACCTTCGGGGAGAGAGGTGTTCCATGAGTCCTGTGTTAAGAATGGCTCATCATCACAAACAGTTCGTTTGAGTTACAAATTTCTGATCAGATATGGGACGTAAATGTCAAGGAAGACAAACAAAAAAAAAGGTTTGTAGGAGTTGTTCTCATAATGTTGTTTTACTGCCTCAAAATCTCATGATTCTTAAGAACTTGGGGAGGTTTGTTGAGTGGAACAGGGAAATTACTGGAAAGGAGAAGGCATTCCTGTGTTGAGTTTCAAGGTGTAATAAAGGGATTCCTTTCCTGTAATAGGAAATGCTTTCAAAGATTTGACCCGGTATGACCAGGACCAAGCATTCATTCACCTATGTCTGTGTTTTCCAGATGCCCTATTAGTTACACGCTAGGAACACACAATGCAAGAGTCTGGTCCCAGTGGAGCTTGTAATAGGAGGGTTGCGAGGGACACACCGGTGCCATGTGCCGTGCTGAGACACGCAGCGTGAGGACCGAGAGGTGGCCAGTACAGACGAAGGGAGGGCAAGCCGGAGAAGGCGTCTCAGCTGGAGCGGTGTTTGGGTTCAATCCTGAAGGAATCCTAACGCTAACCAGGGCCTGAGGGAAGGACATTTCAGAGTGGAGGACACGTTCCAAGGCACAGCGTAAGGAAGAGGCCATGTGCTACTGAAGAATGATGTGACGACCTTCTCACCGACACAGGAAACGAGAGAAGTCACTGACGATCATTCACCAAATACGGAATACCTAAAGCACAAGACTGATAGCGAGGGACGTGCTCATAGACTGGAGAATTTCAAGATGAAAACAATGCAGATCTACTCAAGCTTGAGTTAAAACTGGGAGCCGGATGGGTGGCCAGCAACAACCACACCCTGACCGCCTCCACGAAAACTAGAGATGAACTCCAGGGTGTCCGAACTGCTGCTTTTAGCTCTAGACTCTGGGGAAGCTGGCTGGACCGCCCCCAGAGCTGGATGGGGCGGGGAGCCCGTGCTGTGTCTGCACCTGGAGGTCCCAGGTGACAGCAGCGGACCAGAGGAAGGGCCGGGGGACCTGGCAGTCCCTCTTCCAGTTTCTTAACACCTCACCTGTCGCAAGGCCATCTCAGAGTTAAGGCTGAGGCTAGTTCCCTAGGGGAGGGTGATCTTCAAGAAGTTTTGCAAGGAGTCTCCTAAGAGACACGCACTAACGAAGTTGAATCCGCATCTCCCTAAGCATCCAGGGTCAGCTGTGTCTGAAAAAGTCTTGAGTGGTCTGTATTGTCATGATGTGTCTACACTGTTGGAGGAGTCCACGAGTGTCATAAACACCAGCCTGTGACATCCACAGGGCGGTTTTCCCCG